CCCAAAACATGGCGAAAGCAGACGGTACAACACGCCAGTTCAGGACCTGCCAAAGTTTCCTTAGATGCATTGTCCTGAGCAAAGCAGAACTATATCAAACCACTAAAACATTAAAACATTAGAGCATTCTGCTCTGGCGTGGCGAAGGAGCTTGCCGTGACTTCCTCCGGGGAAAATACAGCTCTACACTCGGAGTTTGCACTGTGCAGATAAATCAAGGAGGACAGTGAAGGATTTCTGCATGTTTCCTAGCAGGATGTGCCCATGGGTTCATGGCAAATTTCTGGTCAAAGCTTAACACTGCAAGAGAAGTTAATAATTGAACTTGCCAAATCATCACAATTTCTAAATTCAACTGCGTCTTGTTTTTACAAAGAGGCATATTAAACCAGTGAGCCATTTTATTAGACTCATGCTCATGTAACAAAAACATGTGTTAGCTCTTGAGTGCCAAGTATCATCCTGGAGGGTTACCAATCCCTGTTACAGATTTTGTAGCCAGACTGCAGTTATCTGTCATAACAGAGAAGGTAGTTTTGAATACACAGAATGAAGCACGCTGCTCGGTTTGGGAATACTTTACGTGGTCCTGGTCTCTTTGTAAAACTCTAGGAAGGAGATGTACTGCGGGGGGGGAGAACTTGAAACTTACTGCTGACTGTAGTGGGACTATCTGTCTCGCCAAAGCCTCCTGGACAGCTGGGGCATGGCCCCAAGCTTGCTCTTTCCTTCCCTAGAGGAACCTTGAAAATGGCTCCAGCAACACCAGTTCCAACAGGCAGCTATAGCAGCTGGGTCAAGTCTGAGTGCATAGGAAACATTTTTAGAATTATCTGTATGAGGCGTTTCAAAACTACAGGTTTACCACAAAGACAGGAAAAACTCATTATAGGAATGGAAGTATTAATCAGACGACTGACCTTTGAAGCTTTGAATCTGAAATGCTTTCCACACCAAGCTGGAGCTGCATATGGAGGCAATAGTCTCCGATATCTTGATTTACAGAGGAAGGACTGATGGAATGCCATATATATTTCATTAATGGAGAAGGGACTTATGTAAAGGAACTATTCTTTTCATTAAGTGCCTTAGCTGAGGTTTGTAGGCGAGCCTAGACACTTGGCTCCAATTTAATTTCAAGGGGACAAGATAACCTGAAAACCTTTAGAAAACCTTGGACCTTGTGAGTGCTTCACAAATGGGCTCTTCATTTCCCCATTTACACTCATCTTCTCTCACATTACTACATGCTATCAAACACTCTGTTCTTAAAATTCTTTAAATGATAATGGGGCTTTCCACACAAACTGTGTTCATTAGCTTCCCCTACCCTACCAACAGGTACAACCGTATGTCTGGGAGGTGTGAGAACTGAGGAAACAGCATCAGGGCTAGGAGAGCGTCCCTTGGCTCTGCAGCGGCACCAGAGCAAGGCTGAGACGCACAGGAGGCAGGCAGTGGCCAGGCAGCAGATCGTACGGTGCACTACATCTACAATACTCATTTGCAGTTGTTCTTTTTTTTTTTTTCTTGGTCAGAGTTATTTTTTCCTTTTAAGCATAGCACGTGTTCAATCAAGAATATCACAGTTATCCATTTGAAGTGTTCACATTATGTAACATCAGCACCAGGTTAAGGAGAAAAGAAAAAAAACTGCAGGTACTTTTGTTTTTTCTTAGCCCTTTCTTACAGGACTTAATTTTTAAATGAGTAGAGGCTTCCCCTCCACCCAGGATGCAAGGTTGACATCCTGGCGTATGGTCCTCATCCTACTAAGGGCTCCTCAACTGAAAACCGTGGGTTGCAAGACTTGGCCTTTACTAAGAAACAATGATATTACAGGAAAACTCACTGCATAATGCTGAACATCAACAGTAAATTACCATTCCATTTTCTAATACAGACATGATGTTTGGAGTTGAGCAAACACATTCTTGAAAGGTCAGAACACTTAAACTGTATGTACCTAGTTTAGGATGAAAAGAACTGTTGTTGCCTTTTAGTTATGACATTTCAGTTTACCCACAAGAATTACACTACTTCCCCTAAAAGTTTTCAAGCCCAAGAACTTGCTTTTCTCTCAGTGTTGGAAAACAAAGGTAAAACTCTTTTTCTGTATTAACTTATCACAGCCATCACTGAATCCAGTGATTTGTCAAGAATACAGCCGTTCCTCCCCAAAGGGATTCAGCCACCATCAGACGCGCGTGGAGGTTCACCTTGTCTGCCCTCAAGGAGAAGGGGCTGGAGGAACCCAACTTGCGCGGAGAGCAGCCGATCGCAAGTGGCTGGCCAGGGGAGCCACCTGCGATCGTTTACACCAAACTTTGCAAACCTGAAAGAACTATGAAATCTTCTAAAATACAGAGCTGGAGGGTGGGTAGCTCTTCATTTTTTCTGAAAGAATGGGAGGAACTTCCTCTTTCAGTTACAGTTACACGGTCTAGTGAGGATATAACTGCTGTAACGATCAGGAAACGACTGTCATGTCCGGATGGCACTACGGAGCATTACTGGGGAGATGCAAGGATCTTGCGAACTGGGAACAAAAGTTTGGATTTGCTGGAAGTGCTCTGATCTGTCACTAAACATAGTGTTGTGTCCACCTTCAAGTTTCAGGGTGTTAAGGGAATTGAAGGAGCACCAGTTTAATCCTAGCCCAAAGAGGTGAAGTTCACATCATTTCAACAGAGCTGCTTGAGATCACTTCATCACTTTAGATCGTATTCCTTCCTTGGGGCTCAGACATCCCAAAGCGAAGGCTGGACTGAGCTAGCTCTGGGACTAATTAGTGCAGGAGAGCACTGTGTCAATGCGACCCACCGCGCTGGGCCACACTGGGACCTCAGCAGGACATTGCATGCGTTGTGCCCAGGTAGTCTCAGCAATCTCAAGCTGAATTGCACCGAGAGAAGGTCCCCCTAGCTTATTCAGTGCTGGTGAACAGGGACGTCTGAGGCATGGTAAGATGACTGTCCTCTGTAAGAAATGACAGCCCCTCAGGTAGAAGTTGCTGAACTCCAGTTGAGAAGTACTGACTGACTGCAAATGCAATGGAGATTGAAACAGGTTAGCCACTAAAAAGTAGCTGAGGGTAATCATTTTATTTCATATTGGCACAGAGGCTGTCAGGTACTGCTTTGTAGAAGGAAACACAACTTCTTCAAATGGACTAACTTGAGCACTTCCAAGTGCTTACGAGAGCTGCAACCCCTCACCGCCATCCTTACACTATGCAAAGCTCCTGCTAGCTGAGCTTTGGTCCTTGACAGTATTTCCAGCACACATCGTAAGCATCGCTATGCATTTCACAAGTCTCCCATTCCCAAATTCCTAACGGATAGCCAACTTCTCTTCTGAACCAGATTTTCAGTAGAGTCGCTCCTAATGCCCACCAGCATCATTGGTACCACACCGTGGGGTGGCACGTAGCCAGCGCAGTACACCTCATCCCACCGCTGTGGTTACTTCGGCAGAAGAGAACTCCAGTTCTTCAAAACAAACCTATTTCCTACTGAAGTTGCTTGCGAGGACTGCAAAGAAACTGTACCTGGTTTCCTGTGCTTCAGTCACTAGATTTGCCAGACATGATATAGGAAATGGGCAGGAAACGTCAACCTTATGCACCACAGCAATTCTTCCCCTTCTCTCCATGCCACATCTGAGCAGCACACCAAGACCTGACCTTGCACTTTTTAGTGCAGCCTTTCTTATACAAACATTTGAGTCAGATCTGGAGACAAAACCAAATAAAAAGCCAAACACATTGCTTAATTTATTTTTTTTTGAAATGAAAAAGGCTGACACCCTGTTTCATACCTATTTGTACTCAAATCTAAAACAAACTGCACATTTTTAATGGCATGAATTTTGTAAGATTAACAAAAATTTAAAAACTCAACCTATTTTTTACTCCTTCTGATACCAGTGTAAAGAATGTTAAAGAACTGATATTCCTGGAGCTCTGTACAGATGTGAGAGGTGCTGTTGCACAAAAAAGGTGTACTGTGATTAAGCACATGAGTTAGGAGGTTTCAACTGTTACAATTCTACTTCTCCCTCATCTTAATTTTGCTTCCATTAAAAAAATCCACGGCAGAAAATCAATGAAGACCTAGTCTTTCACCTTGCTTCTTTGCACAATCATTTGGACAACGGATGTAAAATAGTACTTTTCCAACCTGGCAGCATTTTATATTCACTTTATCCAGGTGTAAATGACAGCATAAGGACTAAGGAAGTAGAATCAGATACAGCATATATTTCTCTACTAAACCTACCCCTCTTTTCCTCTTAAACACCTTAAGTTGAAACACAATTTTCCTCTTTTATTTCCCCATTCATTATATATGAATGGGGAAAGAAAAATGTCAAGTGTATCTTTAAAGGAAAAATGCACTACAGTTTATCAGTCCTTCAATAAAAAAAAAATAAATCTCCTTCCTGGATTAGTCCTTTATACAATAGTTGTCTCACCTTTTTGTAGTTTTTATGTACTGCTAAGAAAACATGCCTTATTATATCATTGGAGAATCTACAGGTCCTAATTGATCATCCAGTATCTGCTAGATCATGCCATTTGTACTGCTCATCATTTCTGAAAAATCAAGTCTGTATTATATTTGGTCGTGACCCAAGAATTAACTCATGATACTGAACCTAATTTGAAGTACTTAGTGTACACACCAAGACATCAAAAATAACACATGGGAGAAAGGGGGTAAATATTGGGGTAGACCTTTGATGTAAGGAAGTTTCTTCCTCAGCAGCACACTGCATGTTCCCTTACATGGCATTTCCTGATTTTTGCAAGACAAATCTGTTCTGTAACAAGACAGACACTAAGTCAGAAGTGTCAATATGAGTAACTCCCTGAAAATAAACTTTGCTCATTTACGATACAGCGTTTCTAATGTGGGATATGAAACTGAACTGCGGGGAAGGAGTTTATTGAGTTGCCTGCAAGTGAGCAAAGCACAAGGCTTGATTCCTCGGCCCACCGAAGAAAATGTGACTCCCTGCAAGAACTGCAGCGCAAGCCGATCAGACGCCGTGTCACCATGTTTGTTCACCAAGCAGTTGTGCAAGAAGAGATTTTGCTCATCGATAAGTACCTCCCGCTTCCAGGGCGGCACGAGTGCCCCCACACCCGGCACAACGGGGCCCTGCTGGGAAGGAGCCTCTCGCAGCTCTTGCACAATGACCCTGAAAACCACCAGCTCATCAGGACTGCCCATTTAATTATGCCAAAACGGAGCTGCAACGGGATTCCTAGACAGCTCTCACATTGCCACGGTCTGGATCTCTCATTGCCACATATTTAGTTTTGGGTTTCTGAAAGAGGTTGAACTTTTTTTTCCCCCTAAAATGTGTAGAAGCTCATAGACTGAATGGGAGGGAAGGAGAGTTAACCTCAAGTACGTTTCCTTTACATACTAATGGTTTGTGCTTAACTCAAAGGGTAATCCAAGAACAAGAAGGAATTTTTGTTACCCCTTAAAAATGTGTTTATGTTTATCTCCATAGGAGAAAGCGGCAGCAGCCTTCAACAGCACATAATGCGTTCCTGGCTTCTGAAGCACACAGCTGTCGAACAACTAAATACTTTTAATAGAAACCTGGTCCATTAATGAACTGAACCATCAAATAGTCACGCGAGAACAGCAAACAACCCCAGGAAGAGCTGCTGTCTTTTCATGCTGAACAAAAAGCTATTTACAGTAAGAGAAATACTGCAACCTCTAATGCTGCTTTGCCTCCCTCTCCAACACATCTGCACACAACTTTCCCTTGGTTCCTGATACAAATTTAAAGCAGCAAAACTTGCCTTTTTTTTCTATGCTTACTTGTTCCTGGGTGCTCCTTTGTGCAGATGTCCTCCCAGGACCCATTTTGCCACATTCCAGTGCCAACTGCAGATCTCATCGGGTCCAGGCTCTCCACCGCCTCACACATCAAACACATTTCTGTTTGGCTATCTCAGTGCTTGTCAGTAATAATTTTTAACGTAAAAGCAGAACTTGGATTTTCCTCTCTGAAATCTGTCGTTGAGATATTGTATATTCAGAATAATCTCTATTCTGTTTTTTAACCAGACCTAAGCTGCTGAAACAACTGGAAAAAAAAAGCTGATTTCAGTGGGCGTTTCTCTGCGTATCTACTCACAGTTAGCTCTTTTGAGAATGAAATGATCGCCACATCTTTTATAACGATACCAGCGCTTATTCTTGCCTTCCGCATACCTGTGCATATAAAGAGATTTTATTGTTTCTGCACTCACCATATTTGACTTGTTTCAAACCCCACGTACAATACAAATATCTGCACTACACAGAAAAGAAAGTATGTGTCTAACACAAACATTTATAATTCCAAAGCCTTAGACAACAATCAAGATAAACCTAGCATCAACTGCAGGGCAAGCTGTGCTGTGCAATTCAAAGGGGGCCCTGAAGGTGCAATTTGCATTTAATGTTTTTGCCGTTAGCTCAAGCTTTAGGTGAAACACTCCCCCCCCCCATGAGACAGGTGGAATACAGTGAAAGGGAAGTCTGTGGCACTCCTACTTGGTGTGGGAAGAGCCACACTCACTTGACAGGCATGGTGATACTACATCCTGTGACGAAGATTTAATTTCTATAATTTTTATTTCTGAAAAAAGGATCAATCCCCCACATTTTAAGTATGTTCATGAAGGAATTCCTAACAGTAAAACTGTGTGCAATGCTTTCCTCAAATCTTTTGCCTTCCACATACAGGATGGCTGCTTTCCAGCCAAAGCTATAGAAATGGGCTGCTCTGATTTATAACTGAGGGGTTTAAAATCAGGCAATCTAATTATTGACTTGATAGTCCACAACGTCTGCAGTCAGCAAAATTTAAAAAATGCAAAATATTGACAAGATCAGACAAATACATAATGAGGGAGTTATTAAAATGCAAATTGCCTGCCTTCTGGTACTCCTCCAGTGTACGGCACAGGACTCCAGAGCCTGCATCTAGCCCCAGCCTCCCTCTAACTCCGTGCTGGTTATGAGGGGGGAGAGAAATGGAGCTGGGGAAAATGAATGGGCAGAGCTACCACAAGCCAGCTGGATGGGCCTCCACATCACAGGGCCCCCCCAAAGAGAGATAGTGACTGCATGGGAATGGGAAGCATTGCAATGTATAAGGAACAGGCAGCCACACACACACTGGACCTCAGACCTTCCCGGGATTTCAGAAAGGCCCTGGCTGCAGGGCGAAGCCCAACAACAGCAGTTCAGGGCCACATCTTCTAGGGGAGAAGAGCCAGAAGTTGAAACTTCTTGAAAGTTGGTGAAACTTGACATCAAAATTCACGAAAGGCACTGCATTAAGATTTAGTCAAAAAACCCAAAAAGTCCAAAGAAAGGATGTGATGGAAATCTTCTCTATCCAACCTGCTCCAGGATGCTTGGACTCGGCTTGAAGAAGAAAAACGCCAGTGCCCTGATCTGGTTTGAGAACTCCTATCTGGAAGGCGAAAGAGGGTATCACTACAAGCCATATAATTCCCTCCTTTCTCATCTCTGCCCCCAACTTTTTCTTCTCATTTAAATAGCCTTATAATCCTGTGGACTATCTAGTATACACTTATTATTTCACCTTGCAGACACATTCTTGCAAGTCTGAGGGCTGTGTATGTGTCTAGATGTCTATGATAGAACAAGTAAAATAGTACCATTCCCAGTTGTGGGTTGGATGATCTAAGCCCCCACAAAGAGAAAACTTTGATGGATATTGTAATTTATGCAATGCATTTCAATCATGTTAATATTGCTGTAACAATCTCCAAAAACTACGCTAATATCGACGGTGACACCCAATTAACAGGCAAATACTGAGGCGGAGGTTAAATGCTAATTTTACATTAGCAGTTAGCATAAGAACTTCATTATGCCATCTTCTATTTTAAACTGTAGCCATCCCACCTTGTGCTGTGCTGCCATCCGTTCTTAGTCAGTATTACGTGAATCACAGTAATTCCTCGCAAGACAGACAGGTTCACAACTGTTGGTGCTAGATACCTGCCCAAAACCAGAAGAAAAGATGGTCCCTGCCCCCAAAAGCCCGCAGTAACTCTGAAGCTAAGCTTTATTGACACTTGGAAGGGAGATCTGGTGCAGGGTGTTAAAGTGATGGTTCGGACAGATGGAGGTAGGTACTCGGTGCTCCTGAAAACGCATCAAGAGGAAAAGGACACTGCAGCGATACAATCTCCGCTGAATATCAGTCCTTTTCAGTATCTGGTTAGGAGCATCCGTAGGCAGTGTGGAGTCAGGCAGTCAAAAGGTTGCTGAGCCTCCCTCACCGTTAGGCAGCAGCACTGATACAAAGCCAGTTCTTTATCTCGTCTTTCAGATAAATAAAATCTGAAATAGATGGAGCTTAACACACACCGATAACAGCAAAGGTACAGAAACAAACTGAAAAATACTACAGCATACTTGAAGGTACAGCCAGGACTGTGGTAAAGCTGTATTGAATTTGCAGAGAAATTAGATGCCTCGTTAACTGTGGATAGACGCACAACTGCCCAAATTTAAACTTCCTCCTTTCCCCAGCTCACCACAGTCACTACAAATCATGCAGCTGAATGAAAGCTGAAAAAGCACTTGGAGCTCGGCAATTTTGCTGTGGTGAGTCCAATAATAAATGAGGGAAGAGGGGTGGCAGCACTGATAATCTTTATATCAAAAACACATTTTCTGCAAAGCAACCTACTATTGTTCATATGTAAAATACATCATGCTGCTAGTAGGGAACAAACTGTCCTGCATTTTATAGATAGTCATTTTATTACAGATTCCCTCTGATTGTGACTCAAAAACCAAACGTTTCATGCATCCTTTCTTGTTAATAAATGCACGAGATACCCAACATGGCTGGATTATGTTATGCTGCTCTAGACAGTGGTTTAAAAAGCAGTGTTGGAAGGATATTGCTACTGTGCAGTATCACACATAAATTATTAACAAAAGTTAAGGAATGAAAGTAGAGCAAAGCTTCATCTGTCCAACTAATGTCAGCTCCTGAAACATGCTGAGCGTCATCCCCCTGTTCCCAAGTCGAATGGGCTGGAGGCAGCATGGTACCCAGGAGCCCTGGTCCCTATGGTATCTTTTCCTGGTCTTCCCATCTTTCTCCCTGAAGCAATTAAAAAATTCTGAAGGCTTCTTGGCAAGCCAGTTTTTTCTCTTCTCTCACTCCCTCCGAAGCCACAATCGCTAGGTGGGGCTTAGTTTTGTAAGTGCTAGGTCTTTCTCGTAACACTAAAAATGTGTGGATAGATGTAAGCAGCCTTGACCATGTGCAGGAAAATGTAGTCCATTGCTTATCAGTCGATTTGGCTTCACACCAAGAGTAACACGCTGCTATAAAGGGCCAACACAGTGTGAAAAAGGAGCTGTTCTACTAGAATACACTCCATTAATTCTGGTTGAACTGACATTCTCCTAGGACAACGGATCAAACCATGTTTAGACTATTGTACTAAGCGTGGCAGGGAACGGAGCAGCACGCTGGTTTCTCTCTGATGTCACTAAACAAGAGGCAGACCCCCCCCCCAAAAAAAAAAATAAATCTTGAAAATCAAATGTGGGATAAATTCTCACAGCATCATCTTTCACCAAAATAGTGTATCAGGTTTTAAACAAAAACCCCCACCACTGTAGCAGGAAAAGACACTGAAAAGTCAAAAATTCCAGACTCGCTACACTTACTGTAATTGTCCTTTATAAGAAGAGCCCTCTAGTTATGTGAAATGACATTACCTCACAGCCCCAGGCTCCCCGTGCTATGCACAGGAAGGAAGCAGACACACATCTCTTTAAGAGCCATTTCCTCTCTGCTCTATTAATTTCGGAGATTAAGCAAGCCACTCCTTTGTGGCATAATAGAGCAAGATAGAGCCATTGTGTTCGTGGAGAGTCCTGCTCACTGTTTTTCCACCTTTAAGCAGGGGGATGCCTTAGCACTTTATTCTCAGATGAAAAGCCAGAAAACTTGTAGCAGCCCTAAACCCCCCCTTAAATTACGATTTCAGCAGATAAGCCAGTGGCCCCATTCCTCTCCCCACCACTGATGAGGATTTCAGTGTCTCACTGACACAGTTCAGGATGGGGAAAACCCCAGTCGCATCAGATGAGGAATTCTCTTCTCAAGGGCCCTGAATCGACAGGGTTTTTTTGCTTGGACACACACATCCCACCTTCCT